GTAAAATATACATTCTTTGCAAAGTATCTTTTCTTGTCACAACCAGTTTACATCATTGTTGCTCAGATTGGAAGCAACAGTAAAGTAAAGGATAAGAAGGTAAAAAAAAAACCCCGCAAATGAACAAATACATTTGTAGCACACACTAGAGCTTATTAAACTAAGTGGTAACCAGACTGACATTGGATCTTCAGATTTCAGACTGAGCTGGTATTAAAAATATATATTTATACGTGGTATGGATGCTCAGCAGCAGATGTGAATCCTGAGAAAAATAAAAGAGAAAATAAAACTATTTCCTGTCATCTGTGAAAAATGAATACAACTTAATGTCAAGGGAATGACATGAAGTGTGGTCACAAAAAAAGGCAATCATTGCAACGAGTAGATGAGAACCCACAACCACAGATTGRTTCTGGACTTATCTTTTTCTTATTTGAAATCTTTTGTGAAGGTCCAGTACCACACTGCGTGTATGTCTGGGCTTTTAATTAGTTTTTTTTAATGTAAGTGTACTTCTGAATCTGATTGCAGAGAACATAAAATGATCAAATATATCAATCTGGATTGAAGGATTTTTTTTGAGACCACAACAAAYATATGAGATAAAAAAAGCAACTAAAAGTTGTGAAGAAAAGGTTTTTAAGGTCTTCAAAGTCAGCACAAATCATCTACTGTTTAATTTTTAATAAAAAAAAAAGTTGCATTACACGTGCTCGTTTCCTAAATTTCTATGCCTTTGTTCGTTTCACAATTACATGGATTTAATTTTACACAGCTTCCAGGACAGTTTGCTGTGTTTGGTGCTCTTCTTCCTGAGGTTCCTGAAGTGGAAGTGCCTGTGGTGATTCTGCAAGGCTGCCAGTGGGATGCCTGTTAGCATGTTAGTGCACTACATGCTGATGCTTCAGCTACATGCTAATGCTAATGAGGCAAGTGCCTGAAAACTGCAACCTTTTGTTTTTCTCCTGAGATGAGCTCAAATATAAGAGAAAAGCAAAAACTAGCAGTTTTAACAAGTTTAAGACTATAATTATTTCCTAAAGAGAGTCTAAAATACAGAGGTTTATATAAACCTCTGTATTTTAGACTCTTATTTACTTTGT